TACATACAGACACACTAACTGCAAAGACTCCCATTTTGTGCTTCGCACATGGGAGTCAAAAATATTTACTTACAATTGTTGTTACTAATAATTTATTGCAAATGTCTGAAAGATTGTGTGTGTACATTATTTCGCTATATAAATCTTGAATTTTTCAAAAATGCGATCAGGACAAACTGAATGAACGATCATAATGTCAAGCAGGTGAACAACGGTAAAATAGTTTGAACCTAAGAACTTTAAACTGATTGTGAAACAGATATTTATCCCTGAATTTGGATGGTTTGTATGTTCTGTTTTCAACTGTGGATGCATGCATTTTTGGACATGTGGATTTCAGCGTTGATTCATGAAATCACTAGCATTGCATTGCAGTGCAGCTCACATGTTTTAACTCTAGCAATAGATTGATAGCTTATTATGCCATGTACATGCCAATTGGTAAAGCTGGAGTCTGCTACCAATACGAGGGGTGATCAATAAGTTCCCGGCCTTCCTCATATACGTTACAGAAGGAAGATTTTTCTTACACTATTTTTCAACATAGTCCCCTCTAAGTTCAATGCACTTTGTCCATCGATGTTCCAGTTTTCCAATTCCCTGCTGGAAGAAGGTTTCTTCTTGATCCGTTTGATAGGCCTCTACAGCTTCGATGATGTCATCATCAGTCTCATAACGGTGACCATGCAAGTGGGACTTCAGTTTAGGAAACAGGTAGAAGTTTAACGGTGCCATGTCAGGCCACATTCGGTTGCTGCTGTCACTGCCACCTGTGCTGTGTGGACAGGTGCATTGTCCTGGATGCAACAGCACACCAGCTAGAAGCTTTCCTCTAGTTTTCTCCTTGATTGCTGCTCTTAACTGTGGCAGTTTTGAAGCATAGTACTCTCCAATGATTGTTTGATCCTTTTGCAAGTAGTCAATCTGTATAATATCCCAGTTTACAAAAAAGGCCCAGTTGATGACCCAGGGAATTTTCACCTCTATTTTGAACCGTCGACTCTGCTATTGGTTGGAGGTTCTTGGCAAAATAAATGAAGCACAGGCAGGTTTTAGGGACGGGTACTCAACTTTTGATAATATCTTTATTCTACACTCTTTGGTACAAAAATACATCACACGTAAAAGAGGGAAATTCTATTGTGTTTTTGGAGATTTTTCCATGGCCTTTGACATGGTAGAGAGACAGCGACTATGGTATATTTTGATAAAGGGTGGGGTGACAGGACAAATGTACCGTATACTTGCTAGTATTTACTCCAATGTTAGATCGTGTATTAGAACATCAAATCAGTATACGGAATATTTTGACTGTCCAATTGGTGTCCGCTAAGGTTGTATGTTGAGTCCCTTCCTATTTTCCTTCTTCATTAATGAACTAGCTGAACTACAACTTACAGTTCCCTCACTATGGTACCGTATTCAACTTTCACCTGACCTCATTGAACTCTTTTGTTTATTATTTGCTGACGACATTGCGATGTATTCGGATACTTTCATTAGCCTACAAAGATTAATTTGTAAGCTTGAGGGGTATTGTGATAAATGGAAAATGACAAGTGAACTTGGACAAAACAAAAGTAATCGTTTTCAAAGCGAGGGGGTCACCTAGCCAAATCTGAAAAGTGGTATTTAAAAAAAAAAAGCTGGGGGTAGTTTCACATTACAAATATTTGGGAATGTTATTATCATGTCGGTTACAGTGGACAGCTGCAGTCTTTAGCACAACAAGCTAAAACATAGTTGAACTCTGGTGACCTTGCCCTTTATGCATAAGCACATGGCTAATTATATATTGTGGAAACCATATCCTGATTACCAAACCAGTTAAATACATGGAACCAACTGCATTTCGACTTCATGGTACTGATCATTCAAAATAACCAATTGTGTATCATTTGCCTTCATTAATTGTGAAACAGAATCCTGTGAGCTTGGGCCCCTCTGATGCCGCTTGCGGCTTTAATTTTAATGTCTTATTGGCATTTCTTTTGGCAAGATTGTCAACTGTATGTTTCAAGTCACAGTGAAGGTAAAATCTATACTAGTGTATGCCACATGTCAAGCCAACAAACCAACATGTGAATCACCATTTATTGATTCAGAACTGTTTTTACAAGTATGTGGCAGGACACACTCCAATATTATGCACTACTGTGCCACCTTCCACAGTGCACTGATGTGTCTCTTGCTACAGTGCACTACTGTACCACTCCCAAACTGCATACCTTCCATTATAACACATCACTCGTTAATACTGTACTATAATTAGTCAAAACAGGATCACCTGCTATTTCACGAGGCCGCAGAAATAGCAGGTTTTTTTTGGTACCCCACAACCCCAAGGGGAAATAGACGTATACTAGCACTAGCCCTCATGGCCATGCAATATGTGCTTAATAGTGCCCAACTGTACCCCTCCCAGTGACTATTGTGCCCCTTCCCAATGCACTACTGTTCTCTGCACTGCCACTCTACTAATAAATCACCAAAAGAGGAAAAAGTTCAACTTACTTGGATCCCAGTCAACTAGACTCTCATCTTCCCATACAGTGCCTGCCGCTGTCCTAACAAATTTCTTTTTTCTTTTTTCAGGTTTATCTTTTGTTTTGTCATCTTTAATATTGTCAGTAGTCTGTACAGGCATGGGTAGGTAAGGGCCTTGTAAAGACTGGCTGCTCTCATTGGTAGCTACATCAGTATTAATCTGAAATGTATCTTGGGACAAAATCGGAGAATCTGACCTTGTTGTGTTCTCTAGATGCTCTGTTGTCTGTAAAAACATTAGGCGATTAAACAACAAATCTAAATATAATGTAATGTGCGTCACATTTAGTAAACTGATAAAATACAAACAAATTTACCATTAAACAGTAAAACAATAGCCACCAGACATCCACTTTTAGTAACTAAGAACCAGTAAAGAGTAACACCTCCTAGGAATAGGATCTCATAGTGTACAAAATTGTATAATACACACATGTGTGATGTTCAAATGAGTTAAAACATTTTTGTCAAGTAGTTAAGGACACATGTTGAGGCTTAACTAATAATTAGTAATAATAATATGGTTACCTTGGTAAATCTGACAGGGGGTGCGGAGTATACTGTGGGTGGTTTTGAAATGACAGCTGATACTTGTTGAACTGGTTGTGGCAGTGGTGGCATTTGTGATAAGGTCATTGGCAGACCAGGTACACCAGGAGGTGACATCATATGTGGCAGACCAGGAGGCATGGGAAGTGGAGGGACTGCTGTAGACGGGTTATTACGCATTTGTAATTGGTGTGGTATAAATGATGGTCTTGTACCCATAGTCATCATAGGGCTGCCAACTGTATTCAAATAACAAGATTATACAGTTTCACAAAATGTCTAAACTGTACATAGCCAAGACAGGAGACTCATAACAATGTCACAAATGAAATGCCAAAATGGATTTTGGCAAATGTCATCAAATAAAATCACATGTGCATTGACGATGAAATAA